AATACTATAAGGAACACCCATTTATTGCTCATCTCAGTGATTATACTATTTATGGACTAACTTTTGGTCATGGATCTTCTTCTCCCACTTTCCTTTTTTGTATTTTCTTAATAAGTTTAACTAACCAACTAGTAAGATGGAGCCGCCTTTTGCACATTCAATGCATGTTAAAATATACTTAACTCTATACAGTATAGTTATGTCGGAGTATCTCACATATCCAGTTCGAAAAATCAAGCAAATCCTTTGAGTTTTATACGTAACATCATGTCAGATAAACGTGCCATCAAATTTGAAAGAATCCCATATCCTGATTTTGACTTGATAAATTGTTAAAACTCATATGCATTTTTATCTGTCGAGTTAAGTATGATTCAAAACTAGTAGTCAACGGTTCATTAAAGCTCCGAATATAAAAAAAAGGGATCAAGCTGAGTGGATCTGACGGATCAAGTTCTAGCCGATTTAGCGTTCCGAAGTGCGAATCAAACCAATATTGTATAACAATTTATTTCAAAACCCAAAGCCGAGTTTAAATCGGTCAATTGGGTCATTATCATACATTAGTCTATAAATTTTGGTAAATTTGCAATATTCTGGATTTTTTTTTGAAAAGAATTCTAGATTTTTTTTGAAACTTGTAAAATACGTTAGTTTCACTATCAGCATGTGAATCGTACCAATGTGACAATTATAACCTGGATGCATATTACTTAGAATAAACCCATCGTTTCACTTCATTTTCTTGATTGTGATGTATCAAAGTTTACTGTTACGTGTAGAGTTTTGATTAAAACATTTTTTTATGATACTATTATCTTATAGTTTAGTTTTTTTTTTAATTAAAGTAATCTTTCCTTTGGTCTGGAACTAGCTTATAGTGATACTAATTATGGTGTGTTACGTGTGTAGCATTTTTTTCCACCGCATTTCGAACCAAGAGTAAAATAGCACTAACTTTTGTGGTTAAACCAAATAGTTATAAAATTTATTAAAGATAAATGATATTTTATATTGAAATTAAAAAAATATGAGAACAATTTCCCTGTATATGTTTAAGAGTTCATAAATAAATAAACTACACCCTAAAGTGAATAGTTGCACATGACGACAACATAGATCGATGAGTAGGTCTCAACGTGTTGGCACACTTTCTTACGGCGTTGCGGTGTTTGGAACATTGGCTATGCGGTTCACCTTCACTCACCGCCTACTGATCTTTTCCATCATTATCATTAAACCTTGATAACATGTACGACTCCAGATGGTAATCACAATAAGAAGAATAAATGTCGAAGTGAGATGAATGAAGGGATGGGCGTTCGTATATCTATTCGGATTTGAGTTGGGTATTTCGAATTTTTGGATATTTTTATATTGGGGTCTAGCATCCGTTTGGATATTTTTATATATTGGGTTGGGTTCAGATATTTTAAATTTAGGTTCGGTTATTTCGGATCAGATTTCAGATATTTAGATTTTGAAGAAAAAATATTCAAGTTTTTCATTGCTTAAGTTTTATGTACTTAAAATTTTACTATTAACTTAACTGTTTTGAATGATTAATTAGTTAACGACTACTAAGTTTAAAAATAAAGAATTGAAAATAGAAAATCATTAATTTAGTTGTTATTTTTAAATTTTCGATGCAACTTTTGTTAAACACATAAAATAAAAAGCTTAGCATGCATTTTAAATAAATAGCAAATCATTTTTTTAAGTTATATGTAAATTATTTGATCTTAAGCTATATACAACACTTATATAAATATTTTGAATAAAATGAGATAAATAAACTAAAAAAATATGTATATATATATTTGTTCGGTTATCTTCGGATATCCATTTTGGTTCAAAGATTATCCGTTTGGGTTCGAATATACAAACTCTCATAACTCAGTATTCATTCGGATATTCTGCTACTTCGGTTATATCGATTCAGATATTTCGGATCGGGTTCGGGTACGAAATGTCTATCTCTAGATGAATCCTATTTGAACTTTGAGAGAAAATTTGTAGTTGAATAGATTTACTTGCTATATAAATGGAAAAATAGTGGTGGACTTCTAGAATCTACACGGTAGACACTAAAAGAAACTCAAAAATCATGTCTATATAAATAAATTAGTAGTGATATCAAAAATCATATATTACTAGACTATACATCGTCCTTCTACATCATTTCCATGCAACCATAAAATTTCAATTAAATATAATATATTAGGGAAATAAAAAAAAAAAATCCTTGATTGGCGTGAACCGCTACATATTTCCTTACGTAAATTTTATGGGTGAGTGTGACCATTTATTCCACATGCTGTCGATAGAGTAGGCTTGGAGCTTTATCAACACATTTCAACAGTTTCGTCTAAGAAGAAACTAAGCAGTCATGGAACCCAAAGGAGAAACGCAGTGGAGCTCTATTTTAGTTCCTTCTGTTCAAGAGATGGTGAAGGAGAAGTTAATCACCACCGTTCCTCCCAGGTATATCCAGTCGGACCAAGACAAATCTGGAGTCGTCGACAATTCTGGTCTATTAACGGAGATCCCAATCATCGACATGAAGCAGTTGTGTTCTTTGAACTCCATGGACTCTGTCTCTGAGGTTCAGAAACTCGACTTGGCTTGCAAAGAATTTGGATTTTTCCAGGCAAAGTCTCTAATTTCTCTATTTTACAAAATAACTCATATATAGGCGGTCTAAACATTTTTCTATGATTAGTAAACTAGTAGTTAATGCTAATATATCATTCAGTTTCCAAATGATTAAAAAGTATATATGCTTAGTACTTATTTCAAGTTCCATGAATTTCAGAGCCAAACCTGGTTAGGCCTCATGTGGATGAGCTTACTAAATTTGTCATGACTTCATTTACTATTATGTGGAGCATAACACTTTGTGTTTCAATATTTATTCATTGTGGGCTATGTCCTTAATGTCATTTAACAGCTTGTAAACCATGGAATAGACCCATGTTTCTTGAACAAAACAAAGTCGGAAATTCAAGATTTCTTCAACCTTCCCATGGAAGAAAAGAAAAAGTTCTGGCAACAACCAAATGAGATGGAAGGTTTTGGACAAGCTTTTGTGTTTTCAGAAGATCAGAAACTTGACTGGGCAGATATGTTCTTCTTCATAGTGCAGCCTGTTCTATTGCGCAAGCCTCACTTGTTCCCCAAGCTACCTCTTCCCTTTAGGTTCTGCAACATTCTCAACTAACTCCACAAATTCTATCTATGTTTACATTTTCGTTTTATGTTCTTCAGAGATACATTAGAGATGTATTCCGCTCAAGTGAAGAGTATAGCTAAGATCTTAATAGCAAAAATGGGGGAAGTCTTGCAGATAAAACCTGAGGAAATTGAAGATTTATTTGGTGATGATATGCTCCAGAGTATGAGGATGAATTACTATCCTCCATGTCCGGAGCCTCATCAAGTTATTGGTCTAACTCCTCATTCGGATCCGGTCGCACTCACCTTATTGTTGCAGGTGAATGAAGTTGAAGGTCTCCAAATCAAGAAAGATGGCAAATGGGTTTCTGTCAAACCTCTCCCAAATGCTTTCATTGTCAATGTTGGAGACGTCTTAGAGGTAAGCCATATTATATGACAGATCATGTCGTATTAGCTAACCTATTTGGTCCGGGTAATGTAGATAATAACAAACGGAACATACAAAAGCATAGAGCATCGTGCAGTGGTGAACTCGGAGAAAGAAAGGTTGTCTATTGCCACATTTCATTATCCTGGACTGAATAATGAAATTTCACCCTCGAAAAGCCTCGTTGGAAAGCAAAAACAGGGTGCAAAATTTAGAAGCCTGACGACTAAAGACTACTTGAAAGGCTTGTTCTCCAGTGAACTCTACGGAAAAACTTACCTTGATGCGATGAGGATCTAAGGGAAGTGGTATCTTGTTTCCCAAGAAAACATGCCTTCTCTAAATTAGTCATGTCTTTGTTTTTGCTTCTCTCTTTTGTCTTTGGTTTAGATCTGTTTTAATACAACATAGACAGTGACATTCCTGGTAATATGATTATAGGTCCATAGCTTGTGGGGTGTCTCATAAGAACAGGAACCGGTCCTAGGCAAATGAAATTAGCTTATGGACTGGCCTCCACATATTTAAAAATAATTTAAATTAATATAAATAAAACAATTGTTCGGAATTTTTTTTATATTTTTTTTTTACTAAATTGTTTATAGTTTCCAAAATTTATGACTGGTCACCATAGCTTGTTTATACTTAACATTATTAATTGTTCAATAGTAGCACACTCAACTTTCCAATAATAGTAAAATTTGTTACATTTTTTTAGGTGTTGTTAAACATTTTTAATATGAAAAATATTGAATAACTAAAATTACTGTTATTGTATGGTTTTTATGACCCCTTTTTGAAAAAGGTAATCGGCGTTAAAATTAGACTTAATTTCCATAGTAAAACATGTTATCAACATGCAATTCTCCATGTTATTTACATGTTATTTATGATAAATATAATCACATCTATAAACAACAGCACCATGTTATTTTAAAGTATAACTCCTAATTAACTCAATTATATCAAACGTTGTATCCTTCATTATTTCAAAATAGTTTTTAATTTATGGCTTTTAACTTTTTTTAACTAATTAATTTGAAAGTGTTCCGGATCTATGGAAAGATCTAAACTAATCTTCCGGATCTATGGAAAGATCAAACTAATCTTGAATGAGAAGTACAGCTCATAAATGATAACCTTTTTTAGATATACAAATGGACCTAAAACATGGACTCATATTTTTGTAGGTGTCCAAAAATAATGTGACTTAATCTCGTGCAAGAGATAGATCGAATCTTAGTCCTTGCCCTTACCACCAGACTGCACTGTCCGGACCTTTTAAATCTACCTCTCCATCTTTTTTTTTGTAAATATCAGTTAATCCATCTTAGTTAAGACAATATGGATGACGAAGAAATGCGCAGTTACAACCATTTGCGCTAGAGGACAACATATACTTTCCTATAGCCCAGAGCAAAGTTTATATACTATACTGTATGCTAAGTACGTAGTAATACAGCTAATTACACACTTAATTTATATCTCGAGTTAAATATGAATGACAATATGGAGTTGGTATATCTCGAGTTAAATATGAATGACAATATGGAGTTAGTACTAAAAAGTAAAAACCAGTTGACTGGTTAAGCCGCCAGTCACATGTCTTTAAGAATTATTGAGTTATTTTCTTTGGTCTAATCACGGTGGACAGTAGAAAATCCTATCAAATTCTCTAACAAAGAAATAAAGAATGATTAAAACATTCTCTAACAAAGAAATAACCCTGTTCTACATAATAAACCTGAATACTTCTTAAATTCTTCGTATACATGCATATATACAGCTTATTCACATTTTGACAAATATATGGATCATGGATTTTTTTTTGTTTTTCAGATCATATATAGTGAAACAAAATTTGCATGCATGGTCTCTGCATGATAAAGATTGAAGGTGGTCCAGCTTTATTGTAAAGGGTCTCTCGTCCACATATACAACTTCATCTCCTTTGGTAACCGAATGTGAGTGTTCAACACGAAATCTCAAGTTATGTGCGATCCAGTTACAACAATTTGCGCTAGAGGACGATATTTGCTAATAGCCAAAAATAAGTTTATATAATATAAATAAACTTTCTTTTCAGTTTTTTTTTTTTTAAGTTTATAGAATATACTGGTTCAGTTGACCCCTCTATTCGACTAATTTAACACTTAAAAATAATTTTATGTAGGGAAACATGTTTCCAGTTAGATATGGGGTTAGTAACAAGTAACTACCAGTTGACAAAGGCAGCCACATGTCTTTCTCGACCTTATCTTAGAACAATCGAGGTCGTTTTTTTCTCCCAACGGAAAAACAATCAAATTGTTTTTTTTTTAATAAGGACAAAAAAAACAATCAAATTGTTTCAACTATTGAGAATTTGGGTCAAATTAATCAATCATTATAGCATAGGAAAAATCGGAATACCCTTTAAATTACGTAACACAACATATCACTGAACATATCTACAACATATCTTTTTTTGGTCCAATAAAAAAAACCGCCATGGAATCCAAAGGAGCAGCTCAATGGAGCTCAATTATAGTACCTTCTGTTCAAGAGATGGTTAAGGAGAAGATGGTCACGACAGTTCCTTCCAGGTATGTTCGGCCTGATCAAGACAAGACTGAAGTCACCGATGGTTCTGGTCTAAATACCGAGATCCCAATCATTGACATGAAGCGGTTATGTTCTTCAACCACCATGGACTCTGAGGGTGAGAAACTCGACTTTGCTTGCAAAAACTGGGGTTTTTTTCAGGTAAAACCCTCCTATTATTTTTTTACTATTCTACAAATTAATGATCGTCTTCTTTTTTTTATTAACGTGTCAAAATTTTATATGAAGCTTTTTGACTTGTTTTCTTCCGAGGCAAGTCTCAGAATTTACTAATTTCTGTTTGGAGAATTTGCGATAAACCTCGTTTTCTTACAAACCAACCTCAAATGTATGTTTTACTCCCTCTTTTTTTATAAATTATTCACGTTTTTGTGTGTTGGTACATAAAAAAATACTATTAATATTGATTAAAAATGGTTTTATGTTTAGCAATTTTCCATAATTTTAATAATAAATAGGATTAAATAATATAATCATATATGTTTTAAAAAAATTATAATTTAGTATTATTAATTGCAAAAGCTGCATAGAAAATATAAAATATGTATTTTTTAAACAGATTTTTTATTTTAAATTTTTTATCTTGTAAAAACAGAGGAGTATTTATCATAATCATGTCTTTATGGTCATCTACAGCTTGTAAATCACGGAATAGACCCAAGTTTCTTAGACAAAGTAAAGTTGGAGATTCAAGGCTTCTTCAATCTTCCCATGGAAGAAAAGAAGAAGTTATGGCAAAAACCAAATGAAATAGAAGGTTTCGGACAAGCTTTTGTGGTTTCAGAAGATCAGAAGCTCGATTGGGCAGATATGTTCTACCATATAGTGCAACCTATTCAAGCGCGCAAACCTCACTTGTTCCCCAAGCTACCTCTTCCTTTTAGGTTTTGTATTTTTTTTTTTGTTTGCTTTTTCTACCTCAACATTTTGAACTAAAATTACAAAGTATTTTCTGTTTAAATATTGCTTTCTGCTTCTTTAGAGACACTCTAGAGAGGTATTCTACTGAAGTGCAGAGCGTAGCTAAGATCTTAATAGCAAAAATGGCGAGCGCCCTAGAGATCAAACCAGAGGAAATGTTAAAGTTGTTTGATGATGTTGATTCGGTTCAAATGATGAGGATGAACTACTACCCACCCTGTCCACAACCCGATAAGGTTATCGGTCTATCTCCCCATTCAGATTCGGTTGGACTCACCATACTGTTGCAGGTTAATGAAGTTGAAGGTCTCCAAATCAAGAAAGATGGGAAATGGGTTCCTGTTAAACCTCTCCCAAATGCTTTCATTGTCAACGTTGGAGACGTCATAGAGGTAAATTACATCAATAAGCATATGGTAACTAAATAGATCATTGTAAATGGTTATAGGCTTTGAGTTTTTTGGTTTGATGTAGATCATAACAAATGGAACATATCGAAGCATCGAGCATCGAGGAGTTGTGAATTCAGAGAAAGAGAGGCTATCTATTGCGACGTTTCACAACCCGGGAATGTATAAAGAAGTTGGTCCAGCTAAGAGCCTTGTTGAAAGGCAGAAGGTTAGAAAATTCAAAAGTCTGACCATGAAGGAGTATATGGATGGCTTGTTCTCTCGTACACTTGATGGAAAAGCTTATCTCGATGCTTTGAAAATATAATGAAAGTAATGCCTTGCGTCCTAAGAAACTATGTCATTTTCTTGATTGCTGAAATAAACAAATCTTATATGAACTGATAATTAGAATGCTTCTAAGTATTGCTATAATAAGATGATTGAACGTTTCGTTTTTTAAAGTTCGTTGTTTTTCGAAGCGTTATCTAATGATAGTGATCACATGATTCATAGACTGATTATCGTAAAATCTCCAAATAATGCAATCTTTGACTCCCTTTTAGTTAACGTGCGCTGTAAGAAAGACTATTCACAAGAGAACTTACGAAACCTCTACATAAGAATTCTTTTTTTTTTTGGACGTAAGATTTACATATCACTTAATGTATGAGTAATCTCTTGTTCAGTTTTAGGGATACATCAATAGATCTCTCCAGGCGTTGATATATTAATGGATAGTGGACCACAGATGTCATTCAATTCAAGAATCTTGATTGTTATTATTGAACTGGGAAAGAAAATGCATAAGGCAAACAGGGATTTTTAATAGCCCCACTAGTTTTCATATACTTTTGCTAATATATATAGTTCCATTTGAATGTCAACAAGATAGACAAGCAACGGTTACTATTGAGGTTTCCATATACTTCTGCTAATCTATTGTAGATTTGCCAACTCCTAACTGGTACTAACTTAGCTAGTAGCTTGTAAAGCTCTATGATTTAACATTTTTTGTTTTCTTCTAAATCATTTGGGGTATTTATTGAGTTTCCGACAAGAAAGAAATGAGTTCTGACCCAGTTATTGCTTGGTCCCTACTAGTACAATTTTTTTTGTCGTCCTACTAGTACAAGTTAAAATTGATTATAGTGATACTATTTGTCTTTCTTCAAATAGAAACGGTTCACGAGCTTTTGGAACAAGAGTAGCTGTATTAGCTAGAGATGTTTGCTCAAGCATCATGGTACTGGCCTAGGAGAAAGCTGAATCCGCTTTAAAGAATCTGAAGTGTCTTCCTAGAACTGTTTTAATCTTGAAAAGATTGAATAGCTTCAAAAAGTTTTCGACAAAGGAAACGGTAACACTCTTATTTGTTTGTTTTTTTGCTAAAAACACTCTTATTTGTTCACACACATAATTATATTATATCTTTACTAAATAAAAATCAAGATTTGCATTTGTTTCTTGTTATTTATCTTCTAGGCTTCCAGCGATCCTTTAAACTTTTCGAATGATCAAATGAGCTCCATGCTGTGGGACTGTAGTTATAGCTGGGAAAGGAGCATGAGTATACGATGGAGAGAGCTCTACACTAAACCGTTGAAGAACCGTTGCCACAAAGACCTTAGCTTGCAACATGGAGAAGTTCTGACCAATACAAGTCCGAGGTCCTGAGCTAAACGGCAAGAAAGATAGTCTTCCTTTGGTTGCACTTGCAACTCCATTGACAAATCTCTCGGGCTTGAACTCTTTCACATCGTCTCCCCAAAGATCAGGATCATGGTGCACCAAGAGCATTGGTATTGTGATCATAACTCCTTCGGGTAAAGAGAATCTCTCTAGCTTCACTTCTTGTTTAGTTATTCGACTTGTGAAGTAAGCTGGTGGGTAGAGTCTAAGAACTTCATGCAGGATCATTGATACCTTATAATGGCCCAAAACCAAAAGAAAAATAATTATAGGAAAAATCTCCGAAATAACACGTTTCTAAGTTTATGTTACAAAAATAACTATAAAAAAACTAAAATGACCAAAATAGTATTTTATCTTTTGAAATTTTTTAAAAAAATTATTTTTCAAAAACTGAAATCTTATTCTCAAAACTCATCTCCCCAACTCTAAACCCTAAAACCTAAATTCTGAACCCTAAACTCTAAATCCCACCCCTTAACCCTAAACCCTAATGTCTAAATTACTTTATCATTGGGATATAAGTGTATATTTATCTCTTTTGATAAAACATTAAGTGCTATTCTGGTCTTTTTTATTTTTAAATGCTATATTTGTGATAAAAAAAATTTAGTATTATTTTAGTCATTTTCTCATAATTAATTATAAACAACCCTCTTTTTCTGTTTGATAGGTTTTGAAAATGTCTTACTTACCACTTTCAAGTGACTTAGCCCTTCAAAATCTGGCTCGTTGTTACCAAACGCACGAAAAATCTCGTCTCTTGCTTTGTTTTGCCAGTCTTGATGTTGGCTTAGAGCAACAAGTGTCCAAAGAAACAATGAAGAAGTCGCATTTTGACCAGCTATATAGAAAGCCTTACAGTCATCTATCAGATCGTCGAGACTCAGCCCTGAATCTGGTCCATGATGTTTGGTTTGTTTTGCATTCGAGTCCAATATGGAGCACAACAAGTCGCCATTCTTGTCGTTAGCTCTTCCGCTTTTTATTTCCTCCTGTTTTGACTCAATCATATCTTTAAATATAGCCCTTATGTCCCTTTCTGTTTCTCTCAACCTCTTGTTGAACTTTGTTGGCAAATATCTGCAAATTGCAAATACCAAAAAAAAATATATTTTTTCATTAGAACTAACTTGAAGAGGAAGATGTGTAATTGTGGATCAACTATTATAAAAATTAAAGTTTGATTATGAAATGAAAATCGTGAAGTCCAAACCGAAAAGTATTATGTAGAAATTATATTCTGACAAAAGATAGTTGATTTACATATATATACTCCAAGATTTAGAAAAGTCTCATTTCTATTTTAAATATGTTTCGACTCTTTTGTGTATATATACAACTGCGTGTAATTCATTAAGAAAACCATTCAATAAAATTTTCTGTTAGAATCAGCAAGATTAGCTTTATAAGTTCCAAGCTCTGTAGATAAATTAAAAAAAGAGAATACATTTTGCTTACCTTGATCCAGGAATGTAGACAGATCGAATAGCTTGGAGACCAAGATCGATCTGTTCTTGTTGGATTTCGAAGATTTTGATGCCATCTTTGTAGGAATCACCAAAAGAACCACGAGCAAGAATGGTTCTGGCTAAGTCATGACAGTAAGTCCATGAATCAAGTTCCACTGTTCCTTTTGCTGAAGCTAGTTTCTCCCATTCTTCTAACATCTCTTTGCAACTCGAAATGAATGCTGGAAGGATGCTCTGTACATTATTAAAACGATAAATTAAATATGGTTTCACTTGAAAAAGCGAAACCAGTATCATACAACAGACATTCTTGATTTTTGTTTCGGGCATTCTTGATTAGAGATGTGATTTTACCTTTTTGTAATGTGTCGTTTTCTGTTACTACTTATTCCGCTTTTAATCTTTTATATTCCCTCTGTTTCATACTAAGTGTTGTTATAGAGAAAATTTTTTGTTACAAAATAAACACTACAAGAAAACAGCTCCAACTCCGACAAGAGTTTCCGAGAAAATGAATCATCAGAAGAGTTGCTTGGTCTTTACGAGAAATTGCCGAGAAAATATCAATTTTATCAAAAACTTCTCGGTAATTTCCGATAAACAGAGTTTCTCGGAATTTTGTCAATTTATATCGTCGGAATTTTGTGGGTACAAAAAAAAAATTTACCGAGAACTTTCATTCCTCAGAAATTTGTTGGTATTATCTCAGAAATTACCCACGACAAGGAAGCGTGAGAAATTTGTCAGAAATTTTGACGGAAAATCAACGGAAGAGTTTCTGTGTACACGTGTTACCTTGGCGACAAACGTCAACCGGTGTCACTAATTTCTCGGTATGTGATAGTTTCGTTGGCTTTCAAGAGAATTCACTTCTTAAATCTCACTTCTCCAATAAATTTTATGTACTCACCATATTCATCCAATCTTCCTCAGAGAGCTTTCCACCATACACAGAGAGATTTTACCTCTACGGAAGGTAGCAATAGCTTAACTCTTTTTAAAATTTTATTATGCCTTATATTCTTATGATATAATGAGTAGATATTGCAAGTTCTGGAAACAGGTAACATTTGTTTCCCAGATCTGACGGGTTTAGGGATGTTTGTTGATGGAGGAAGACGGCAGCTCTGATGTAGGAGGTATGGATTACCTTGCCCTCCACCACGAACTCTTCTTCTCAACAGGATTGTAGAAAGGTTGATACCGGCGGCGGCTAGAGCTTCACGGCGTTTTGGTGGCAGATCCGGTGTACGACGACTTTTCTTCTTTGGTGCTAAGGTTTAATAGGTTGTATCCGGTTTGTCTTGGTTTTTTAAATTTCATTTTTGTAAACCGCTTCTAATCTCCAATCAAGGCAGTTCTAATATATGTATAATATATATAATGTGTTGTACCCGGTTTAGTTGCCTAACCATGACTTTGGCGTGTTTAGTTGAACCAAGCTTCGGCTCGGCTCCAATTATTATTTTTTTTTTATTTTTTTTGTTGAATTTGTCGGTAAGTACTCGAAGATCACCGGCAATATTTTAACAACTCTGTTTGTCGATAACACATCATCGGAAATGCCTCGTCTCTTTCCGATAACCATTTCCGAGATTAATCCGAAAAAAATATCTCGTCGCTAATTTTCCGACAAAGTGACGATGAACGTTGTTTTCCGACGCTCAAACGCCGACTAATTATTGATTGTCGGAGATGTATCAGAGATCATGAATTCCGACAAGTTTCCAATAAATTTTGCTGTCGGTATAGAATTTTTTTCTTGTAGTGAAATGTTGTTTTTAGTTTTCAATGTATAATTTATTAATTTTATTATGTAATTTATATTATTATTGGTTAAAATATGGTTAGGTGTATGTGTAATTATATTTTTATATAGAAAATATGCAAAATTAATTATTTTCTTAATCTATATGCACAAACTTAAAATAACACTTATAATGAAATAGTGGGAGTATTTCTTAAGCTAAACTGTTTTGGGTAAATTTTTTATAATGACTAGACCCAACTGCATATAATGCTCCAAATTCAAGAAAACTCTTTCAAATTTCTTTGGAATTTGAAGATAATACCATCACGCAGATGGAGATTCAAATCTGTAAGCTATGGTAATCATCAGAAAAGAGTCCACTGAGAAACAAGCTCTTATCAATGCTTCCTAGTTATTTATTGTTAGTTTATTGTTGTTTCTTGTGTCAACTTTATTGTGGTTTAATCGATCTCAACAACCAAAACTTCTTTCAAACTCAGCTGGCATCTTTTTTCGG